CTTTCTTTCTTTCTTTCTTTTTCCTAGCTCATTTATCACTTAGGTTTAGAACAAAACATCTTGCTTTAAGACTCGCTTACCTTTTTCGTCCGTTTTCTTGTTTTTTCCCCTTGAATATCAGCTATTTTTTCAATGGCAAAGAACGACATACATAGTAGATCGAACTATACGAAACCCTACGAAAGTTCCAACTTGCTTAGTGTCTTTGTTATGCCTTTTTATGTGAAAGGAAGTGCTTTTGATATCCACTTAGAAATTCTCAAGCACAAATCTTCAAGTCGCGAATAATTTTAGTCGTTAATTTGAATCTGGTGTTGCGCGAGCTAGTATTTCAGGGCGCCCCGAAGCCGATTACCCTAAAGATAAAGATCCTGCTTATATTGATGGTTTGTATTTTCAACTCTGACTCACACCTGCCCTGCAACTGGAGTGATATTGGTCTTGTTTGTCTACGTATTTCTTTTTCTATTTGTTTTGGGATGAGTTGCTCTCATCACAGTATGCTTTAAAGCTATTGACAGCCATCAGCTGACTCTTAAATTATTCGATTCAATAATTTCATGGTACAAAATAACCGAGTTTAACAAAAGATTACTGGGTTAATTTTTGGTTTTATTCACGTAGTTGCTGGTTGCCATGTCAATGTCGAGTTCTCCATTGTGGATTGCAAATTGCAGGTATTTTTTTAATAATGCGGATGTAAACAATAATTTCGTCTTGAAAATACACATAGAAACTTTTCCTTTTGTTTTCCTGAAAATGTTTGCACCGAATATCCCAATTTAACCAAACTTTAAAAATAATTATGGCTCGTCAAGCATCCAAGTTGACTTAGACATAATTCGAGCCAGACTTGAATGATTTCAGTTTTGGTAATAAATCTCTTTAATGTCTTCCCATTTCAAACCACGTGTCATTCCCTTGAGAATAAGATCCTTTATTTCAGTGGCATTCATATTCATGTGTCATTCACAACCGTTAAACAAAGAAATGATACCCTAGGGAATGACTTGTGGACTGAAATGGGGAGACCATTACACCCAAGGTAAAGACGTCGTTTCGTCTATCTTAAAAACATTATAGCATTCGCATTATTCGTAAAAATTATTCGCCTGATTAACACCATTTTCAACAGTACTTCAACGTCGTCCAGGGAGACTCAATAAGTGCAGGTATTTTTTTGAGGAACTTCGACAATATTTATTTATTATGTACAATTCTCACCCCGAAATAAACTGATAATAATAATTTCCTATTTTACGTACCCGTGGGATCTCTGTGGAGATTCGTATTAGCAGCTCCAGGCTCTTACGTCCACTCTTACCTACCGGCCTTATGTTAAGGAGCAAATGAGTTTTACGTCAAAAACACCTCTTTACCTAATTCCTAGCCCAACGACAGGTCGTATAAAATTCGTAGTCTAAAAGATACTTCCATACCAGGGAAGAAGCAAAGATTTCTGTCATGCGAATGAGTAGCTCACCGATGTGTTGCTTGATCACAGATCATCTTTTACTCAGGCTTAGCCTAGTATCAGTGTCTAAATATTCAAAAATACCAACGGTAAAGTAAAGAATGCACAACTTCAACAATACAAACGCTTTGAAATTCAAGGACCTCGAATGGAACACGTGAATATTCTACACAAAATCGAGGCTAACCCTGAGCAACAGAGAACTCGAAGTATTTATAGTGTTGAGTTCACAAAATTGCCCGTTCTGACGTCTTATAGTTACGAAGCATGTCTTACAAACCTGTTGTACATTTGGCCGAGAGGGCCAAGGTAACACAGATTCTTCTCACAAAACAAATCTTTGTCTATTTGTAAGGGTTGTTTCTACTTTTCAAATCGTTCGTATACTTTTCGATGATATCATTAAAATTTTTCATTGTTTTAAATGAGTTTGCTTTGAATAACGATCCAGCGTCACTAGGAACACCCTGCACGACGTCATCACTGGCCCAGGCCTCCCGGCCATGTTTATCCTTGATAATCCAGACACGATCTATTACTTTATTATTCTGTCAATGAAAGAAAAAATTCTTCAAAAAAGACGAATGCAAATATTTGTATGACCAATGTAATGTTGTTTTTTGCAAGATAAAATGCAACGACGTTGACAAAGTCTCTGTCAAAAACTGGTATTCTATAGGTTCTGACACACGGTGCTACATTGCATGCAACATTGCACGCAGCAGGAATGTTGCAGCGTGTGTCTACCCGAAACATGTTGCACGCAACATTGCATGCAACAAATCTGAAGTTGAACCGCTCTCTACTCTTGCAACCTTTGCGCGCAACAAATTTCATCAGTGAACATGGCTGCAATATTACATGCAACATTTTGAAATTTCCAGCCAATCAGCTTGCACCAAATTTATGACTACTGACCAAATATCTTAACATAGCAGGCTGACACAAGCAATGTTGCATTATTTTGTTTCAATGTGTGTCACCCCGATTCAAATTTGTTGCTTGCAATGTTGCTTGCAATGTTGCGTGCAATGTTGCACCGTGTGTCAGCACCTTATGGAAGATTTGCAACAAACCCAGCCCGATAAGGATTGTGGGATTGACATGACAAAAGAGTAGTAGAAACATGCACTTCATCACCATGGTAACTGGTAAAGTGTCCTAACGTAGCTTACCTTATCGATACTGACTTGTTCTAGGTATAAATGAGTAAAGTTATGTATTTTCATTCTTGTGTATCCATAATCGAGTGTACGAAATGCCGTCCAAGGGCCGTAATCCCTCTTGAATTTATCATGGCAGTATTTACATCCCTATCAAGAAAAAGAAAATTATCATAGATCTGTGGGACAGGATGGGTGCGTCAGTGGATGGAGATGGATGTGTGTGTATGTGTGGAGGGGCCAACAACGGTCTACTCAATCATCCATCTTGTAGTCTCGTGGAAAGGGGTGCACCCCCTCTAGATTATGAGTGATATGACACAATGCTCTTAGTGCAATGTGTGTCCATGCTTATATATCTTACCGCTGATCCAGTTACAATGTGCACGGGGGCTCGTGGGTTCGTGTAAGGATGTTCTAAGGATCCATTATAAATCTGGTTCGAAAAAAAAGTTCCAAGACACATTTTAACAGGTTTGCTTTTTAGAATGTTCAAGACATAAATCGTGCTACTTTACCTTGTGATTATAGACAGGAAAAAGCCTTTCGTACGAATGTTCGTGAGCCCAAATCTCGAGATCCACTCCTAAATAAATAAGGTGCTAGTAAATACAGAATTGAGGAAATAGGGCGTTCCTCACAGCTTTATTCTGGGTCCCAAATAGATGTACTCCTTAATAAACAAGGTCCTAGTAAGTAAAGTATTCGGAATATAGGGCGTCCCTCACAGCTCTATTATGGGCCCCTTAGAGATCGACTCCTAAATAATTAAGGATCAATAATTTCTTACCGTGTTTGTAGAATAATTCCTCTAGCGGAAACAGTTTTAGGGAAGTGATACCAGTTCTAATCTAAAAGTTAGAACAAAGATTGATCAGGTAAAATCGGAAGAGAAAGTTGTGAGGTGTATATCCAGCTTTCATCTCCTTTCCTTCTATCCCATTTCTATAATTTCTTTCTTTCTTCATTTCTTTTCCTTTTCTTAGAAATATTGAAAAGATAAATTAATCTGCCAACGATTAGATTAACAATATAATCGTACCTCATTCTCGTGATTTTCGCAACCATCACCAACCATATTTGAGCAGTACATTGGACGGTGTCCCATAGTGATGATCCATGGACGTATTGAACGGTTGTGAGGTAAATTAGCTTCCTTGAACGAAAGCAACACAAAGTCGGAGATCAATATGTGTGGAAATGATGATTGTGGTGGTGATGATGATGATGATGACGATGATAATGAAGGTGATGATGGTGATGATGATGATGGTGGTGATGATGATGGTGACGATGATGATGATGATGATAATGATGGTGATGATGATGGTGATGATGGTGATGATGACGATGATSATGGTGGTGATGATGATGGTGATGATGATGATGATGATGATGTCAATGTTGGTTATGATGATGGTGATGATGATGATGATAATGATGGTGATGATGATGGTGATGATGGTGATGGTGATGATGATGATAATGATGATGATGATGATGATAATGATGGTGATGGTGRTGGTGATGATGGTGATGATGATGGTGATAATCACTGATGATGGTGATAATGATGATGGTGATGATGATAGTGATAATGGTGATGGGGATGGTGGCGATAATGAATGCGTGATGAAGATTTTGATGATAACGACAATGATGATGAAGATGATAGTGATTACAAGTAATGAGAACAACAATCAAAAATAATAATTCATAACTTACCTCTAAATCCTTCTGCAGCCATTTGTACTGATTTACGAGTTGTTCAATTCCATATTGTAGAAAATAATACAACTCAGTGCTAAAGCTTATGATATGCGCAGGGCCAATATTCCAGCTGACGGGCAAACAAAACCACAACTGTTATAACTATGTTACTCAAGAGTTTTACCCAAGATGATTATGATATTTTGTACAACTATCTCGTAAAATCTCTTAAGGAAATGATGTCTTTTTGATCTCATCGTATTATTACTGAGGGGGGAGGGGGCTGGTGCAAAATTAGGTATACCAAGTACCCTCCTTATGGTGATGCGCATTTTTATAGAGCCCCTCCCCAGGCTGGATCCGCCCCCCGTCCACACCAGTCCTACCCCTTTCTAAATAATCACCAGTCCCTAACAGAGTCTGATTTTGTTGTATGGCTGTATATACCTGTAAAACAGACCTTGATTATCACCTGGCATACTGAACCTTTCTCGATAATTAGAAAAATTGCTGAAAATAGAAGAAATGTTACAGAGAATTAGCACCTTATCATCTATATCAACTGTAGAGTATAATAGCAGTATATTCAAGATGGCGTCTATTTTGTCCCCTAAAATAATCCCATAATGCATTGCAATGCATCTCGACCCACTTTTTTCTCAAACATTGAAATAGTCGGCTTACCATTGAAACTCATGGTTACCAGGGCATACCATATATGGTACATAGGCCGCTATTGTCTCGATTTGATTCATGAAAGCATCAGCTACCCTCGACTCATCCTGGACATGAAAATATGCTAACGTTAGCATCATATATGGTAATGTTTAAACCATACAAGGTAATATTGTATCTTATATGGTAAGAATCATTTAAGGTAACACTGTATATACATAATATGGTTATGCAAGAACCATATAGGGTAATAATGTACCTCATATGGCAACGTATGTAATGGTAAAAACAAAAACAAAATCTTTACGTGGAGATGCAGGGTATCGAACCCCGGGCCTTCCGCATGCGAAGCGGACGCTCTACCACTGAGCTACATCCCCGACTGATATTTACTTCAGAAAAAGACGCTAGCTCTAGAATTAAAGGAGAGCTTTAGCACCAACTTGTCAGTAATATAAGAATGTTTTTACCATTGTCTAAGAGCGCACATCTCTAAAATAAATAACAAACCTCGGTCGGAGCAGAAACTCGCTTTACGCGCATTTTTGAAATGAAAATCCCAAGGAAAACTACCAACAGCTAGAACTAGATTCTCCGTATTCGGGGATGTAGCTCAGTGGTAGAGAGTCCGCTTTGCATGCGGAAGGCCCGGGGTTCGATACCCCGCATCTCCATAAATAATCTTATTTTTGCTCGAGAGAATGCGCACTCTAGTACTTTCCAAATTATTGACGTACAACAAGTTGTATTTTGTATTATTAATCGGGAGTAAATTTGTGTCATACTTACGTGAGACATGTCGTAGGCAAAGTCCCCTGGAAAAACRTAATTGACAAAAAGTGATTCAGATAGTTTTCACTGTGCCAAGAGAAAACTTATTAATTCCCTTGGATGACCACGAATATGACAATGGTTTCAAGTCGAGGTTAGAGTTGATGAATGAAAGAATCAAGTTCAGTCTCGACTTCAAACCATCGTTCCTTGTTCATCCAGGCAAATTAGGGAAAGGACAGTTTCATAACACCAGATTTTTTAAGTCAAGAGCTGCGCTTGACAAGCAAGATTACACAATACTATGTAACTTAAACATATATATAGTCTATGGTTTTCAATACTAATGACACAGAGCTCAGAGAAGAAACGTTAGTATCTGCGCGCACTACAGCAGTGAGTTTTAATATCTCTCCTGTCACATACCTAAGATAGATGCAATGGTCTTTCAAAACTGTGATGTACGTAGAAAAAAATCATTATTGAACACGAAGTATGTGATTTTAGGCTGCCCCCGTTTCATCTCTGAGCCCGGGAGAGAGGAATTGAAAGAAAAATCGAAGTTGCTTTCGTACCAACGTGCAGTACTGCATCGTAATCACCGTTTTGCACTTCAGTCTGTAGTTTACTCAGGGACTGTGCGTTGCCTACCCCAAGATCTCCGTATACCGCTAGACTGGGTGACCATTGATTGCCAACTTTTGATGTTTTAAAGAAGTATATAGCACTCCAACCATCGGACCCACCACAACGATACCCTATTGGAAAAATAACATGTAACCGTCGAAAATTCGCTTAAAAACTTCTTAAAATTCATTTAGAAAGAAATATTGCTCTTCCAGCCAATCAGAGAGCGCGTTAGTTCTCATCTTTAAATTAGCCAATCAGAGCACATGATAGTTTCCGCTGTAGTTTTGTGATCATCCATTGTGAAACGTTTGTATTTAGTTTATAATTAACAGGAAAAGAAAAGAAAAAGCGAAAAATGAAAAGGAAGAGAATGTAAGAAAGGGATGGAAAAACGAAAGAAAGGCAAGAGAAAGGAAAAGGAAAGGGAAAGGGGGAAGAAAGTGAAGAGAAGAGGAAACAAAATAAAGGAAAGGGAAAGAAAACTCTACCTTACCATAAGAGGTTGAAGGTAAAAGTCCTTTTAGTTTCACTCGATGGATATGAATGTATCTCTTCTTCCAGCCGCACGTCTTGTAAGGTTTCGAATTGCCTTTCGCCACATTGGTCAGCGGTTGTCCTTTGAAGTTATACTCCACTACACTACTGGATGCTGGGGCTAATGTCGTCCATGTGATCATCATCTCTGATTGGTCGGCTATAAATAACGAAAAAACGTTGAATAAGTGAGTGAAAATAGAAAAAAAGGTTGAATGAGAGTGAAATTCCGGGTAAGAGTTGAATTAGAGGGAAAATTGAAATAGGTGCTAGATTGACTTGTTGTTGCAGGTTGTATTGTATTCGTCATTTAAGTTTTTTTCAACAATACTGATTCATGCTTTGCATTTATTTTTCCTGAATATTGATCGACATGACCAAATAAAAAAAATTTGATTCCATTTAATACTATACCCAGCCAATTACTCCCGCCTTGGATCGTGTGGGATATAGATGCACTAAATGTGATGAAGAGTCTCATGTATAGTTACTGAACTCAAGAGCAAATAATGCTTCGATAAGTCATTCTTTTTGAAAGCTTATCATATTACTAAAGGCTTCTGAAGGAGGGCCATTCCCAATTTGATAGCTATTTTGAGTCAGAATCCCACTCATGAACGGTTAAGGTTAATCCCATTTTAACAGCGTAAAAATATATGTAAAACCCAGTTCAAATCTTACTCCCCGACGGCAATGTTATAAAGAGCGACTTCTCTCAAAATTTGCTGCCCAGATTGCCGTCTAAATTCAAATCTATTTTTCGATATAAGTAGAATCATATTTCCATCCCTTATTATGTTTCGATGTATAGGTACCTACGGGAAGACAATATTAGTCACATGACTATGTCCTAACTAACTCCTCCTGGAATATAAGTACCATCAGAGTGTATCAATAGATATATTATCAATGAAARAATATCATCCAAGACAAAAATAAACACAAGAAAATACTAAGAAATATCAACCAATTAATAAAACCCTTTTTACAAGGTTTTGTAGGGGGAAATCAAATTTTACCTGTTCTAGAGATATGAATCTGTTCAGGCTGCGGGGAAATGGACGAACTACCGTAAGCGGCTCCATTTTCGACGGTAAAAGTCAAGAAGATGATTAAGTGGAGTATAGATTCCATCTTATTGCCATATCGGAATTTTTTTCCCCGAATAACGGGGACTGAATGGCAGGTTATTGCCATAACAATCAATACGTCATGAAATGTTTATGACTGGTGATGTCGTTGACGGCTTGGTACCAGAACCAAAACCTAAGGTGTTTTACTATTGTCCGTTGATTCAAAAACACGTGAAATTCTTGTAAAAATAACAAACTCCAGATTTAAATAAAGCAGTTTTCTTTAAATGTGTTTTTAGTAACCAAAATCTAGGACGATGAGGATAATCAACTATGGCAATAAGCAATAATAAACAATTATTCGCCGACGGCGAAGTGAATATTGGGTAATAGAGAGTTTTAGATTTGTTTAGAGTTTTTTCTGCCCGCAAACGGCAAACGTGACCACGTTTTCATAGTTTTCGTGTATTTTACTTTACCTTTTACAAACCTTCTCATCAAGCGCAAATACTCTTTTGTTTTTCCACTACTTGGACTTTTTTGCGATTCTTTTTCAGTAATTTAAAAGAATTTTTCACTGGTCAACTGACGTTTCACGTTTGCCGTGAACGTAAATCTAAAACTCTCTATTATTTACCGAGACGCGAGTATTTGAGCAGCGAGGTCGCCGCCGGATATTTACGGTACTGATCGGAAACCTATGCCTCTTTGTTATATTCAAATACGTACTACTTTTTGCTCAGACTTTTTCTGAACCTATGTCAAAAGTTAAGATTCGCTTTATGAAAGTAAAATTCGTAAAAGGTATATTTTCCATTGCCGAATGAAGTACCGAGTTTATTTGAACAGAACTAGGTGAATAAACTATCTATGTACCTAGCTACATACAGTCTTTTTTGTTGGACCCCTCTCTGATTGGCGGGCTGGAAGTAACCGTACCCTTGTAAAACTACATGTTCTTCACAAGCAAGACAAGTACATTTTTACTGTCGCGATAGATTGCATCTACCCAATAACTGTCAAAAAGTTTTTCTCGCTCGCTCGAGAACTTGCCCTGATAAACGAACAAACAAGTATCTTGTTGATAATTTCTTACATATTTATTCACTAAAAAAACATGTTAGATCCAACAAAACCTTACGATTCACTCAATATTATACCGGAAATGACGTCATCTATCAAATCAAGGAAATTTGCTGACCACCTTATTATATTTACGGGCACGCCTCATAATTTCGTGATTATTAACACAGCTGACGGGACCAAGCCGGCGTCTTTTAGACTCGTATTCATGTCAGCTGCCGTGAAAGTTTTACGCGGAAATGACGTCATAAGGGTGAATGGAGCACTTCCGTCCGTCCTGTTCGCGGACACGTATTCTTGGACGGTGGATAGGAGGTCTGTCGCCTGGAACGAGCCTGTGATTACTGTTCCATTCGTTAATCGAAACTGTAAAAACGAAAACACATATGGCTTAGTGACATACATGTAGTTTCCAGTCTTTTGAACTGACCCGTTTTCGTTGGTTTTTATGTTTATGACGATATTCAAATTGAAATTTTTTGACAAAATTCCGAATCCTTGCACACTCAACCTGGATGATTTTTATGCACCAAGAATAGCGCTTGTAGCACTATAGGACAAGGAAAATTGACCTTTCTTCGAGTCATTTCAGGTACTTTGTACTCCCCCCCACTGTTAAGGATGTCCAACTCCCCCCCCCTACTGTTAAGGATGTCTATATTTGTTTTCTTTTCACCCCTCCATTTTTCTTCCCATTCCCAGCATTTTTACTTTACTCTTTAGTCGATTCCTAGACAACGGTCAATCTCAGACGGATTGACATCCCCTGGTCCACAATCGACGTCCTATTCCTTTGACATATTTACAGTATACCATTGCCGGGTTTAATATCAAGTGAAAGGACTGGGGAGACTGGACAATTGTTGACCAGACTGGATAATATAATTGTATTATAACATTGAGCCAGACAAAGGCAGCCCAATTCTGACTGAATAAACAAAAAATCACTGGACAATGAATGAATGAAAACCTTTACTTAAGGTGGCTGCCTACTTTTGAACGTTCGATTTGAGCCCACGATGTGCGCGCGCTCAAAAACCGCTGAA